CCATGCTCTTTTTCCAAAGATGAAGGAAGTTATGTGCAGTTCAGAAAAGCATTTTTAATTTTTTTTAAATCACAAAAAGCACCCCACACTTGGTTTTTTGTCTGTTTTTGCCTCTTTCATCATCTTCATGGGTATTTGTCATTGCTTAATTTTTAATCAGAAATACAAATCCAGTAATGGATCAAATCATGTAGAACTCAGTATGAAACGTGGTGTTCTGCTCCTCCCCACCATTCTTTCTTCCCAGAGAAAAATTCTTTTAACTTTCTGTTTCTTACTTCCTGCACCCAGTATAAGTGGATTCCTCTTTTCCGCATTCGCCAGCTGTAGACCTGCCTGCGTGAGGAGTGTGGACGCCGCTCATATGTGTCGCTCCCTGTCCTCTGCCTCTCGGTACCATCGTGCGGTTCCTTCTAGTTGTGTGCTGGCGACTTTTCTCTTACTGTCAATCTTTCCATGGGTCTTATCTTTAGATGTGTCCCTCATAAGCAGTATGTACTCAAGTTTGTTTTAATTAAGTTTGTGGGTTTTTTTTTTTCTTTTCGAGACAGAGCGTTGCTCTTGTTGCCCAGGCTAGAGTGCAATGGCGCAATTTTGGGTCGCCGCAACCTCTGCCTCCCAGGTTCAAGCAATTCTCCTGCCTCAGCCTCCTGAGTAGCTGGGATTACAGGCATGTGCCACCATGACTGGCTAATTTTGTATTTTTAGTAGAGATGGGGTTTTTCCATGTTGGTCAGGCTGGTCTCGAACTCCCAACCTCAGGTGATCAGCCCATCTCGGCTTCCCAAAGCCAAAGTGCTGAGATTACAGGTGTGAGCCACTGTGCCTGGCCTAAGTTTTGTTTTTAAACCAGTGTGAAAAGTGTAGTCTTTTTAGGTCTCAGTACTACTCTTGGCTTTCTGTGTGTCCTGTGTGTAGTGTAACCTTTTCTCTTTTCTGGACTTCTTTTGGATTGAGTCCACTTATTTCTGTTCCCAGTGGCCACTCCATGTTTAAAGTTGTACATTCCTATACTGCTCTTTTAGTGGTTTTCTTAAAGAATACAGCATTTGTTCTTGATTTACCAGAGTGTAATCAAAATTGGTACTTTCTCCAAACAATGCCAGGATCTCATAATGTTCACATTTCAGCTATCCCTCCCTCAGTGTGTATGCTATTGTTGCTGTCCATATCATTTAAGCCCCAGAAGCCATTTCTTACATAGCAGTATTCATGCTGGCTTGCCCAAGTATTTCCCCTTCATGTTACCCTGTTCCTTCTGCAGCTGCAGGCTGGATCTGGGACTGCTGTCATCCTGGCTGAAGAACACTCTTAGGAGTTCCCTTTTTGGACCACCTAGTGATTCATCCTCTGTTTTTCCAAAAATGTCCTTGTTTTTCCTCATTATTTCGAAGAACATTTTTATTCAGTATCCAGTTTTAGGTTGGCAGTGGCAGATACCTTCTTTCATGACTTTGAAGGCATCATTCAAGAACCTTCCGGCATTCACTGTTTCAGACAGGAAGTCAGTTTAGTCTTACTTTGCTTCCCTTAAGATAATCTCTTTTTCATTGGCTGCTTAAATTTTTTTTGTCTTGTTTTTATAAAGTGTTTTTTGGGTATGTATAAACATTGTTACTTTTTGGAAGTAACTAATTGACTGTGGAATTCTGTCTTGTCTTTTTCTTTGAATATACTGAGCAGCTCAAGTCTTTGCTTGACAAGTCCATAATTTGAAACCCTGCACGTCTGTTTCTGTTGTAGGTTGTTGCTCTTGCTTTGCTTTCATGTGATTTTATCTCCCAGTTGCCTGGTTATTTATTTGTTGCTTATTTATTTTTGCTTAGCACCAGACATGATATATGAAAAATGATAGAAATACATTCATACCTGGGATGATGTTTTTTCCCTGCAGAGATAATTTGGCTTCTTTTCTGCAGGAAGCTTGGGCCACTAGAATCCACGATCCGCTCTGTCCCATTGGAGGCAGTGAGCTGACTGGAAGCTAGCACAGGTCCCTAAGAGGACCAGTCTGTGGCTTTGCCCACTGCAGCACAGGGCTGCTCACCTTGGCACTACTGACTTTTTGGGCCAGATAATTCTTTGTTGTAGGGGGCCCTCTTGTGCATTTTAGGATAGTTAGCAGAATCCCTGACCTCAACCCAGATTCTGGAAGCACCCTGCCACACAAACACATCAAGATGTGACAGCTAAAAATGCTCCAAACATTACGAACTGTCTGTTGGGGAACACAGTCATCCCAGTTGAGAGCCACTGGTCTAACTCGTGTGAGTCCAACTCACCGTGTGTGATGTTTGTCAGGTCTCTCCTTGGTGGACCTTAGAGCCCAGGTTTTGTCCTTAAGGCTCTGTGAGAGTGTCAAAAGCAATAACCATATGAGGTGGATTTCTACCAGAAACGGTTATAGTAGGAAAAGAACTTCTGAGACTTAGAGAAGTAGCCTTGGAGTGCCAGATACTAGCATATTATTAGCAATCTAGAAAATTCAGTTGTATGGCCTGGCTCATTTTCTGATGCTGGATAAAATGTTTCCTAGTCATTCATTCAGTTTTTATTAGTTATGTTCCAAAGCAACACTGAATATTTTTAACATAAGTAGTGTAAACTTTTGTTTGACAAGATGGAATTAGTACAGTCGTTGTTTTCCTTTTTCTAGGTCACCAACAATGGCTGGAGGTTTGTTTGCCATGAACAGACAGTATTTCCACGAACTTGGACAGTATGATAGTGGCATGGATATCTGGGGAGGAGAAAATTTGGAAATATCATTTCGGGTAATTTTATTTTTTGCATGCTCAATTAGTAGAATATGATTTTCATCCATGATCTCATATTTTCTGTAAATTCTCATTATTATAATTTTTTTTTGAGATAGAGTCTTCTCTGTCACCCAGGCTGGAGTGCAGTTGTGTGATCATGGTAACTGCAGCCTCCTGGGCTCCAGCGATCCTCTTGCTCAGCCTCCTGATTAGCTGGGTCTACAGGCATGCGCCTGTAGTTTTTCTGTTTTTGTAGAGATGGGGTCTCACTGTGTTGCCCAGGCTAGTGTCAAACTCCCGGGCTCAAGTGATCCTCCTGCCTCGGCCTCCCAGAGTGCTCCATGATTATCTTTATTGACAAACCATCCTTAATAAGTGCTACTTTGCCAGAATCTGTGATATGGATGATATCTGTTCTAAATGTCAAAAGTATCTGTGTTGATCCAGCGGCTAGGAAAACAACAAAATGGAAAAGCGTATAAGAACACAGGTATTTATTCGTACTTATTTTTTTGAGACAGGGTCTTGCTCTGCTGCCCAGGTTGGAGTACAGTGACATGAACACAGTGACTCACTGCAGCCTCAAAACTCCTAGGCACAAGCGATCCTCCTGCCTCTCAAAACTCCTGGGCTCAAGCGAAGCCTCCTGCCTCTCAGCCTCCAGTGTAGCTGGGAGTACAGGCACATGCCACCACACCTGGCTAATTTTTTATTTTTTGTAGAGTGTCTCACTGTGTTGCCCGGCTGGTCTTGAACTCCTGAACTCAAGCAGTCCTCCTGCCCTGGCCTCCCCCAAGGTGCGAGCCTCTGTGCCCAGCCTATTTTTCTGGACTTAGAGATGCAAGTGCGTAGTGTGTGGCAGTAAAGTCTGGCCCTAGTGCACTCATCACTGGAATGATGGACACTGTACCCGGTGGGTGGTATGTCATCCCTCCTCCCTCCCACCTTTTAGAGTCTCCAGTGTCTGTTATTCCACCCTATGTATTTATTTATTTTTTAAAAATTATAAATGCAGCCGGGCGCGGTGGCTCACGCCTGTAATCCCAGCACTTTGGGAGGCTGAGGCGGGTGGATCACGAGGTCAAGAGATCGAGACCATCCTGGTCAACAAGGTGAAACCCCGCCTCTACTAAAAATACAAAAAAAAAATTAGCTGGGCATGGTGGCGCATGCCTGTAGTCCCAGCTACTCGGGAGGCTGAGGCAGGAGAATTACCTGAACCCAGGAGGCGGAGGTTGCGGTGAGCCGAGATCA